ATTTAAATTGTATTAGTATATTCTATATTTTATACAGTTTGTGTTACATAATAATATATTAATTGACATTTCAAAATGGCCTTCAATTTTAGTAACATTCTCTGACATTTTAACATAAAAGAAATTCTTCTATCAATGTTAAAGCATTGTGGTCAAGTGTGAAGTGATGGTCGAGGAGTGTGTGTGTGTGTGTGTGAGAGAGAGAGAGAGAGAGAGAAAGAGAGAGAGAGAAAGAGAGAGAGAGACAGAGAATGTCCTCTAGAACAACAAACACAGGTCCAAAGAGAAGAATTCTCCTGACAGCTATTTATCATCATTCTTACGGAGGCAAGTAGTACATGACTATCCTCTCTCTTTTTGTTGTGGTTCTAATTCCCTTTTGGGTCCAATGCCTCACTATCAAGCAATTCCCCTCTTTGGAAAGTATAGTCAATTATAGTTGAAAATATCTGATACAACGGGATATAGGCTTATGTCCTGTTAACAATGCCAGTTCCATCATCTTAATAGGTCTAAGTCTTTGAGCTGTTGTGCTAGAGAAGAGTATTGAATATACCATGGACTGCTAGGAGAACAAACAGGTTGGTCCTAGAGAGGATGAAATCAGGCTGTCCTTGGAAGCATGGATTTTGAAGCTCCATCTGACATACTTTGGGCATGTTGCAAGGACAGACCAGTCCTTGGAAAAGGACATCACTCTTGGAAGGATGGGGTGACAGCACAGGAGAAGAAGACCCTTGATGAGATGGATTGACACAGTGACTGGGGTTGATGTGTTTGAGACAATAAGGTTGGCTCAGGATAGAGCAGGGTCAGAACTATTACACATAGGTTTGCTATGAGTTGCAAATAACTCAATGGTATATAATAGCAACAACAACCCGTGGAAGTACAAATAGTGTGTACTGGATCACTTAATAAATAGTTAGAGGTTTGAGCCCACAAAAGGATGACTAGGCATCCTACTTCCGCACAATTATAGCCAGGAAAGCCCTGTGGGGCGTGGCTCAACTCTGTCATATATGTGGTGATCATAGTCTGAACTGACTGGATTACAACAGGAGCTTTGTGGACATCTTTTTGTTATCACGTCTTTTTTTACCCTTATCCACACATTAACTTCTATATCTATCCATACTTATCTGGAAAACTTCTTTCAAATCTTAAGTACAGGTTATGATTAATCTGCAGGAAGCATGGGACACTGCTTACCCAAAGATCATGTGTCTCTACCAGTTTGAATCCACCAATGACTCGTCTGGAGAAAGATTGACAGTTTCCTCTTGTTAAGATTTACAGCCAAAAAAACAGGATCAAGGAATGGAGTAGATGGCAATGTGTTGAGGAATTTTTCTGTCATGCCTCCTCTATACTTGTTATTACACTATGTTATTCTAATCTGTTAAAATATTACCTTCAGCTAGCATCCTGCGAGGTTCTTAAAAGCAGAATTTCAGTTTTATGATTCTTTAGCTCTTGGTACATAATGTGTCCAATAAAGTGAGATGCATCTTAAGATATATTTTTAATCTCTCCACATAAATTTAACCAAGGAGCTCTGGTGGCCTAGTGGTAAGGAGCTACACTGCCATGCCAAAGGCCTGTAGTTTAAATCCTCCAGCAGCTTTCTGGAGAAAAAACAGAAACTCTCTTCCTATACAACTTACTATTTCTGAAAATCCACTGCAAGATCAATTATGAGTTAGTTTTCCTACTAAATGTATGTAACAGCAACAATATAAATTTCAGATCATTTTATAATATAATTATGTTTAATTATCTGGTGGAAAGGATAGTAATATTGAAATAAATTCCTGAAGAGCTCATCTAAACAAACAAATACATAAACCCCTCTTCTCTAAAAATAGAAATAAAATTTTAAAAAATCGCCACGATATAGTCAGTTCTGGTTCCCAGTAATCCTTGTGGTATTTTATTCTGTAAATCACAATGGAAAGTCACTGTCTATCTTTTTTCATCTAATGGTTTAAACTACCTGAGATACACAGCTTCTCGGTTAGTAATGTGATACTCCACTGGAAGACTATGGTTTTCCATCCACCACTGTTCACAGAAATAGCAGTGTAGGAGGCAGCTGAGCTGGACTCGATACCCTTCCTTAAAGATATTATGAGACTCTTAGAATTTATTGTTGTTATTAGGTGCCATCTGGTCAATTCTGGCTCACAGTGACCATAGGTGGAACAACCTGCCTATTCTTGTACCATCCTCACGTTCTCCGCAATATTCAAGCCCATAGTTGAAGTAACAGTGTCAAGTCATTTCATTGAGGTTCTGACCCCCCTTCTTTGATTTCTACCTTTCCAAGTATGATGTCTTATTCCAGGGATTTGTCCCTACCCTTTCCAAGATGGACTCCTCCTGACAACATTCTCAAAGTATGTGAGATAAAATTTAACCATCCTTTCCTTGAAAAGTAATTCTGGGGTGCAGTTCCTCCAAGGCAAATTTACTTGTTCGTTTTGTAGTCCATAAATCTCCAATACTCTTTACCAATACCACAATTCCAAGGCATAGACTTTTTTCCTTTGTCTTCCTTATTTATTGTACAATTACCACATCAATAAGAAACAATAAAGAGAATATCATGGCTTGAGGTAGATACACTTTAGTCTTTAAACTACCATATTAGTTATTTAGAATTTTAAAGAGGTGCTTGGCAGCAGATTTTGCCAGTGTGCTGTATTTTTTGGTTGCTTGACTGTTGTTTCTATGAGATTCATTGTAGTTACATATTTTAAGCTGTAGTCATTTAATTGGCACATTCCTAATTCTAAGCCATCTCAAAATTTACAAGTTGCAAATGTCATTACACCTTAGGTGTGCATTTCAAGACAGCTCTTGAAGCAATACTTAAGAACAAGTATTTGCAAATGTATATCCTTTGACCCACAAAGAAGGTGAAAGACTCAAGGTCACGGCTCCAGGCCTCAATTCTTTACCAGGTGCTTTCGAACTTCCTTAATCTAAAATAATCTCTCTCTCTTTTTATTGGTTTGCTTAAAAAGTTCAGTATACATTGTGTTTCACCCTATTCTTCATTCACACTCGGTTTCATACAATCAGTCTCATGCATCATGTTTCATAAAATCAGTCACCACTGGAATTTGTCTATCATTACCCTGTCCTTTTTGCCTGAATCCTTCCCCTTTTCTTGCCCACCTCCCTCTACCCACCAAACTGTAATCTCTTACCATCCTCAGGCCAGTTGAGGAATCTAAGAAGGGGAAATCCAGAACGTGCATGGAAATCCATCTGTTTGTGTCTCCTAGAAGCTGAATAGTCAGAACAACTGTTCACCTCAGTTTCCAAAACTGTAATCTAACACAATTACATCTAAAGGATTTTATGAAGTGTCTTATTACAAGAAAGGGGTCAGCATTTATGTTAGCTTAAATAAATACTATATAAATGTTAGGGAAAATTATGTGCATGACACTTCATTTAATATATTTTTCTTGCACCTTAAAAAAAGAAAGAAAATTCCATATTCCATTTTGTTTCTGTCAGATATTTGCTTCCATGAAAGAGGAAAAAAAAATATGGATTAATGATTTTCTAGATATATGAGACCTGCATGTTTTGAAACAATGTGCTTTGCTTTCATGTTTATTTGAGTATGTTCAAATATCAACCTGCATGAGGCTAATTACTTAGAAGAAAACCCTATAATGGATGGAGGCTGAGGTCTGCTTGGCACCGGAGCCTTCGCTGAGGATTCTGCCCTTCTCAGCATCGTGGAATGTGTTGTGTGTGCAACTCTGATGGCTCTGCTTACTAAACTGTAAACCGCCACAGAGAACTAATTTTGACGAATTCTATAAAAAGAAAGCTTCCAGTAAGGAGGCAGGGATGCTGATATTTGATACTATATGGATGTAGGTGAGATTTTAGAAGGTGCTTATGCTCACGTCGATTCCTAGATGGAAAAAAAAAAGCAGCATGAGCCAATGGGATGAAAATTAATGATAAAACATTTTCAAGCATTTCATATGGGATCATGTGTTAGTTAATGTTTACAGTTCACGGCCTGGTTGGTCTTAGTTAATTAAAGAAATCGCTTGGGACAAGGGAGTACTCGGAAATGATTGTGGGGTTTTATACAGTTCATAATAAGCCCAGAGACTTGAGGGAACATTTCAAAGTTCTATAAAATGGAATATATTTTCCCTTGGGCTCATTATTTACTTAACTACAGGTCATTTACTTTGGCAGGAGAAAATGTACCTGTTCAATATCAAAAGGTCTATGAATCTCAGCTTTCTTTTATTGTCCTATTATATAATTTAAGGATTTTTGGTAGTAATAACAAAACTGATTACTTTCCTATGTATTAGGATTCCTCTCAGCTTCTGTAGGTTCAGTGTTCATAATTTAAGTAGCATATTGAAAATAAATTGCTTTATTTGATCACATGTAGATTTAACCATTAATGAAGTTCAGTAGTTATATTTCACTTTTTATATACATCTAGGAAAAATAATATATGCAGAAATAGCTCTGAGGGTAACTGGATCTTTAAATGTGTCCATTTAAAGATCTCACCTAATAACAGTTTTCTTATTGCATAATAATAGGAATTTAGACTCAGGATTATGAATTATTCATGTTGGGGGACAGATGTGGCTATTTTAGTTATGGATATTAAATTTGCTAATAATTTTCCTCTCAATACTTATTTACATTGTATATACAGGACAAAGCCCAGCCCTACCACCTCCATTACCAACAGAACAAGCACCCCGACCCACTCCAGCATCACCTGCTCTTGAAGGCAAGTAATTTATGGGTTTTTTCCTAAGTATTTCCCTCCCTTGATAGAATAAAATGTAAAGAAACAAAATAGTTAAAACAGCTATAAGAAAACTCCAATAGTTTCTTATATGGGTTTATTATATCTAAACCACATTTTTTAAAAAACATCCTATTTGGTCCTATTTAGAAAGCCAGACATCTGATGTTAATGGTCAATGTTAGTGACATTCACTTTCCAGGGTAGTTAGTATTGAAGCTTTCAAGTATCTCAGAAAGTAGAGAAAAAGAGACAATGGTTTGTCTTATTTCTCTTGTGGTTTATTCCAAGGTGCCCAACTTATGTTTTAAGACTGGTAACAAATTTTCTTAGTTTTAGCTCTGCATTTTACTCGTGTAAATTGAAAATGCTCTTACTACACCTTCTAAATCACTATTCTTGTCCCCTCTTAGAGATGATGAGACCTATGAACAATTAAGCTATGTGCCTTGCCAAAGATAAAATACATACATAATATGTGTGTATATAAAATGTGTGTGTGTGTGTGTGTGTGTGTGTGTGTGCATGGAATGGAGCTCTGGTAGCTTAGTGGTAGAGAGTTGCACTGCCAACCAAAAGGCACGTGGTTCAAATTCATCAGCTGTTTCATGAGAGAAAGATGACATAAATGGAGCAAGAGAAACATGGGGAAGGCTGAGTCTGACCACAGTTAACTCTACAATGAGGGACTGTACCTATCAATAACATCCACAAAACAAACAAACAACTCCAAGGTCAAACATAATCTTCCATGCTCCTGCATCTACTTCTACTAATCATTTCATTTGATGTCTGTGGCAAACTGACTCACAAACTTGACTTTACTCACGCATGGTGGTGGTGGTGGTGGGGAGTTATTAGGGAAATACGTTGGGGAAAAGAAAAAACAAAGGATATTACGCAGTGAAAGTTCAGATTTAAGCTAGCAGTACTAAGCTAGATTAATGACAAGACAAATTCCTCAATTAGTTTAGACAGCTTCACCAACAAGTGAAAGTTCTGGTTTGATCAAGTAAAATAAATACAAGAATTCTCTGGTTTCCTCAATCATCAAGCAAGTTTTATCTCATAGTAGTCACAAGTCATCTCTTCCTTTAATCACCTAACAAGCAGAAACCTTAACTCTGGCTTCATCTCTATGGCTCCATTAGGCTATGCCTGGCCACAATTTCTCTAGTCTGGTTAGCTTGCTCTATTATGTTGGCCTCACAACTATTGATGATATTGGGTACACTGATTAAGGTAAATCATGTATCGGTAGTTGAAGCAGCTGGAGACCAGGCCCCTGAGGAAGACTAAGCCATTTTCAAAAGTCTTAACTCCAAAAATGGACACTCTCCTTTCATCTCACTAACCCCCATTTCCCAAGTTACTGTATCTAGCCATCTTAACTGGGGTCTTCCTCTCATGCACTGTCCATCCATCTTGCCAAGCATGATATCCTTCTTCAATGACTGGTCCCTCCTGACCATGTGCCCAAAGTATGTGACATGGAGCTTCAAAATCCTAGCCTCTGAGGAGAAATTTAGTTTCAACCTCTCCAAAACAGACCTGTTTGTTTTATTAGCAGTCCATGGCATTTTCAAGACTATTCTCGAGCACCACAACTCGAAATAATGGATTCTTTTTCTATCATCCTTAGTCATTGTCCAGCTCTCTGATGCATATCAACTAATTGTGAAGACCATGGCCTGGATTAGGTGAACCTTAGCCTCCAGACTGACTTTGTTGCTTTTCAATACTCTGGAGAGGTCCCTGACAGCAGATTTTCCTAGTGCAATTCTTCTTTTGATTTCCTGACTACTGGTGTGAATAGTGTTGATCATAGAGCCAAGAAACCTGAAATTGTTAACAATCTCAATTTTTCCTTCATTTATCATGATGGTCTTGGGAAAGTCTACTGTCAGAGACCTCTCCAAAGTACTGAAGTGCAATAGTGTAAATCTAGAGACTAAGATGCTTCTGATACAGGCCATGGTCTTTGCAATCACTTGCTATGCATCAGAGAGCTGGACAATGACTGGACACAAACAGAAGGAGAATTGATGCTTTTGAGCTGTGATGTTGGAAAAGAGTGTTGAATATACCATGGACTGATAAGAGAATGAACAGGTTTGTCCTGGAGAGGGTGAAACCAGGCTGTTCCTTGTAGGCAATAATTCTGAAGCTTTGTCTGACATACTCTGGACAAGTTTCAGGGAGGGACCAGTCCTTGAAGAGAGATATAATTCTTCAGAGGGTGAAAGGACAGTGCAGAAGAGGAACATCCTCAATGAGATGGATTGATTCCGTGACTGGGGTAATGGGAGTAGGTGTGTCAGACACAGTAAGAGTGACACAGTATAGAGCAGAGTTTAGGGCTGTTGTACATAGATAGGGTCACTATGAGTTGCAGGTGACTTGCTGGCACATAAAAACAACAACATGATGCTGCTAATTGACCCACTGGTGAGAATCTTTGTCTTCTTGATGTTGAGCTTCAATCCATATTGAAGCCTACAGTCCTTGACCTTCTTAAGCAACAATACCTAGTCATATATTCCTCCTACATAGTTCTCTGCTCATCAGTTCCAATGCAGCATACATTATTTATCCCCTCTTAGTTTTCCCCCAAATCCAATGTCAGTCCTTCTTTACAACAGTGGCACTATTTTGTCCTTTTGTGACTGAGATATTTCACTCAGCATAATGTCCTTCAACATCACCCATTTTGTTTTGTTTTTATTATTACTAATTTTAATGAAAATTTACAGAAACTTTGAATTCCCATTCAATCATAGTTGCACTTTTGTCCTGGCCCACCCCTTCCCCACAATTCACTCTTCTCTTTGAAAAGTTAAAGAAAAATTCTTTCATTGTTATACAGTCCCCCCCACAAGTCCACTCCAGTGAAGCCTTCGTTCTAGACTCCTGTCATGACAATAATACCTAATCACATATCCCTTATAAATAGTTCTCTCCCTCAAATGTTTCAATGCAGTATACATAATTTGTCCCATCTTTCTCAGTCTCCTCCCAACCCCGATGTCAGTTCCGTTTTACAACAGTGGCGATATGCAATATTTGTCCCTTTGTGACTGAGGTATTTAACTCAGCATCATCCAGGGCCATGAATTTTATATAATATTTCTTGAGTTCTTTGTTTTTCAACGAATCCTATTATTGAGTTGTGTGAATATACCAGAGTTTCTCTATCCATTCATTTGTTGGCAGGCACTTAGAGTGTTTCCAACTCTTTGCTACTGTGGACAAATACATGATAAATATGGGTGTGCATATATCTACTTGGGTGACAGTTATGGTTTCTTTGAGGTGTATTCCCAGTAGTGGAATTGGTGGGTCAAATGGTATTTCTATTTTGCAACTTTTGACAAATACTGCCACACTGCCATACTGCTTTCCATAATAGTTGCACAATTTTACACTCCTACAACAGTGATTAAGGGTTCCAGTTTCTCCACAACCTTGCCAGAATTTGTTGTTTGCTATTCTGTTAAAATTTGCTATTTATACTGGGGTGAGATGATATCTCATAGTTGTTTTGATTTGTATCTCTTAGAGCTAGGGATTTTGAACATTTCTTCAGGTGTTTGTTGGCTGTCTGAATGTCTTCTTTGGTGAAATGTCTGTTCATATCCTGTGCCAATTTTTCAATTGGGCCTTTCTCTTGTTGTGGTGCTCGAGTATTTTATAAATTCTAGATATGTCCCTTAACTGACATGTCATTACCAAATACTTTTCCCAGTTTGTGGCTTCCCTTTTTACCTTGTTGGAGAAGCTTTTGGATGTGCATAGGGACTTAATTCTTAAAAGGTCTCATTCATCTATTTTATCCTCTCCTGGTTGTAGATTTTTTAGGATGCTTGGAAGACGGTTTATGCTGTGGATTAGGACTTCTAGAGTTCTTCCAAGCTTTTCTTTAGTGAATTTTATAGTTTTTGGTTTTAGACCTAGGTCCAGGATCCACCTTGCGTTGGTTTTTTTGTATGGCGTGAGGTTTGGATCTTGCTTGAGTTTTCCGCAGATAGTTTTCCAATTTTGCTAACACCATTTGTTAAAGAGGCTGTCATTTTCCCGCTAAACAGATTTTATCTCCTTGTCAAAATTAGTTGACTGCAGGTAGATGGGCTTGTTTCTGGATTTTTATTTCTATTCCATTTATCTATGTGTCTGTCACTGTACCAGTACCAGGCTGTCTTGACCACCATGGTAGTGTAGTAGGATTTGAAATCAGGGAGAGAGATGTCTCCTACCTTGTTTCTCTTCTTAAGGAGTGTTTTGCTTATTCGGGGCTTCTTTCTATTCCAAATAAAGTTGAAGATTACCTTTTCTATCTTGTTGAAGAATTGGATTGGTATTTGTATTGGAATTGCATTGAACATGCAAATTGCCTTTGGTAGTATTGTCATTTTCACAATATTGAGTCTCCCTATCCATTAGCAAGGAATAGTCTTCCATTTCTCCAGGTATTTTTTGTTTTTTTGTTTATTTCCTGTAGTAATGTTTGTAGTTTTCTTTGACTAGATCCTTTGTGCTTCTGGTTAGATTTATTCCCAAGTATTTAATCTTGTGATTTCTATTGTGAAGGGTATTGTTTTTCATAACTCCAGCTCTGCATTCTCTTAGTCACTGTAGAGAAAGCCAACTGATTTTTGTATGTTTATCTTGTATCCTGCCACTTTGCTGAAATGGTCAACTATGTCCAATAGTTTTCTTGCTGAGTCTTTAGGGTTTCTTAAATATACTGTATCATATCATCTGCATATAGAGATAATTTTACCTCTTCTTTTCCAATTTGGGTATCTCTTATTTCCTTTTCTTGACTTCTAATACAATATTGAATAAGAGAGGTGATAGTGGGCATCCTTGCCTAGTTCTTATTCTTAAAGGGAATGCCTTTAATCTCTTTCCATTGAGAACAATATTGGCTCTTTGGTTTGCATGTTTACTTTTTAATGTTGAAGAAATTCTCCTCTACTCCTATTTTGCT